AGTTTCACTGTATTTAATTAATTAAGTTTAGTTTGTATAAGTATTTTACTATAAGACCATGAACTTCATATAGCAGATACGAGCTTATATCATATTAGCTATTACTATAAAGTAATTTATTATAATTATTTAATTGCAATTAATTTAGATGAAATAAATAAATAAATCCAACTTCAAATAGGTTATACTAATATTACTAGAGGTATTTATTTTGGCTGGAATGTTCAATTTCACCATGTGTTTCACTAAAAACTTTTTTTTCCGTTTTTAATTATATAGCATAACTAAGTGATAGTTAGTTACCCAAGTGATATTTAATAAGTAAAATCCCTATCAAAGTAAATTTAATTACCATTTTAAAAATAAATGTATTATTTTTAGTACAAATCTACATATGTGTAGAATAATATTTGGAAGTGGCATTACAACTAACTTCTATGTTCTACTTAATCTTCCTTTTTAAATGATAGATTGATATTTTGTCACTTATAATAGTCGATCATACTCATACAGAATATTTCTTCTTCTTCTTCTTCTTTCATTGGAAAAACTATTCTCTAAGAGTTTTAACAGCTACCACAATATCAAGCCAACTGTCTCTGTTTTGTGCTATATCTTTCCAGTTCTCAACACCCAGCCTCTCCAAGTCTTCTACTACTTCATTCAGCCATTTTCTTCTAGGACTACCTCGTGACCCAGATGATGAATCATGGTTCTGAGCAGAGATAATCCTTTAATTAAAAATAAAAACATACATCATTGTAAAACCAATACATTAATCGCTCCACCTAGTTTCTAAAATAAATATATTTCTAAAACTGATTATGAACCCTGTTCTGCACTTAATTTGTATTTAAATCAATAACAAACACACAACTTTTTGTCTAGATTAAGATTATAGGGTCTTAATAATTTAATTCAATACAGAACAAGATGTTTGTAAGCAGATATTTTTTAATGAATAAACTATTTTATAATGTGAATGAATAAAGTGATGTAATGTAAAAAATACTTTAAGAAATAATTTGAGTACTACCAATTTAGAATATTTTTCAAAAAGTATTTTAAATACAACTAAAATACCTTTTTGATAAGGTATTTCTAAGAAAGTAATTGAACCAAATTATAAATAGGTAAGTACCATTTATTTTTATAAGTTTGAATAATTAACATTTTATTTTTATTAAATTATTTGCTAAAAACGAACTAGGTCCAACAAGGTAGCAGTTAAAAATAATTATTTATTGTAATTTGTAATAGTATAAATATTAGACATTGGCTGAAGAATCTTAAAACTTGTTAGCTGTTGCACTTTATTAATTATTATTTGTTAACTGATAAGTTATCTTCAGCCTATATTCTATTTCATTAAAACTTAAAATACTAATTAACAAGAGCCCGGACACATTTTATAGGTAAAAGTTCTATTAAATTATATACTCAATTGGCACCCCGGAAAAGCCAGGACGGATTTGCAATATTCACCTCAAATCTATTATATTGAATCTAACTACCTATATTATATCATTCATTTTTTACAAAGATGGGATTTAGGTTTTTGTACTACCTAATCATTCTTCCAAAATCAGAATTTCTTCAAAGTTTCCTATTGAAAATAAACAAATATTTTCTAGATATAACACAAAATTCAAAAATATTAGTGAGAAAATAACAAAATTAATTATACATATGACCTACTTATACTTAAAAGTATAATGTTATTTTTCTTAATCCAATTAGTTGTGAAGAGATTAGTAAGATTATTGCTAAGATTAAAATTTACATTTATTTTTATGAATATAGTTTGACTAGTTACATTCTTTAAAAAAATTTTAATTCTATTTCTATACTGTAATCATTTATTTTCAACAAATCTTTATTAATTGGTGATTTTCCTCTAGAGTTTAAAAAAAGTAATATAACCACATTATTTAAATCGGGTAATAAATTATCATGTGAAAATCATAGAAATTTATCTCACTATCATTAAACTATATTAAACATTTTCAAAAAGTGCATCAAAAATCGTTTAGTAATTTTTTTTTTTAAATTATATTTTTCAAATTCATAATTTTGATTTTTGGATAGTTTGTCAACAACTGATGCAATCTTTAAACTGGGTAACTTTGTTCGTAGTTATATTGATGCGAGTTATAAATTAATGAGTATTTTTCTAGGCAAAGAGCTTTTGATAGTATAAGTCATGTGTTATTGCTAAAAAAAAGTAGAATTTTCAGTTATTCCCGGAGTTCCTAATAATCTATTAAGAAGAAGAACTTAAATAGTTAAAGCAAATAATTGTTATAGTAAAGCTAGAGATATAACTTGTGGAGTTAGACAAGGAACAGTCTTGGACAACCTATTATTTATCTTTTTTTAAAATGATTTATTGAACATAAATATAAATAGTAATATAGAATTACTAAGTTTTGCTAATGATGCTGCTATATTTATATCTGACACAACAGTCAATAGTTTGTACTATGAAGCAAATGAGATTTCAAATACTGTGGATGCTTAGTTTGGTAAGTATAAGTTTAAGTTAAATTTACTGAAATCAAAGTTTATTGGTTTTAATTCACCTATTAGTAATGGTCATAATTTGATTGTCCGTTCTCTAAAATGTAATCCTAATTTAAATACCAATTGTGATCTGAAATATATAAAACTTGAAAAAGTCAATGAACTAAAATATCTTGACTTAACAATGGATTATAGACTTAGATGGGATAGTCACGTAAATTATATTAATGGTATTTTACAGAAATTTTTCTTTGTATTTAATGAAGCCTATATATATATAAGTTATAAATTATAAAATAATTGTTTATTTAACTTTAGTGCAATCTGTTTTCTCATATGGTATATCAATTAGGGAAGAACTTTTAATAACATTATCTAAGCTCAATGTTACAATAAATGGTGTTATTAAATATTTACTAAATATTCCAATGCAAACTAATTCTATTCTAATTTATGAAAAATTCAATGTAAAAATATTTAAGATTATTTATAAGCAATCTGTATTAGTAGACTTGTATAAACATAAACATTTAATACCTGTATCAGATCATGAACATAACACTTGAAATAAGTAAAATCTTGACATACGTTTATTGAAGTTTCACGTATACTGGTTTTAATTTCTTATTGCTTGTCTTAATTGCTTATTAAATATTAATATAAATCAGTTTGATAATTTAAAGGCATTCAAAACTTATTGTAAGTATATGGATTTGTGAACGATAATACAATTATAATAAGATTATTAGCTATTTAAAATGGTTGTTCTATATATAGTATTAGTATAATCAATAGATTGACTTTAATTTATTTGTATTCTTAAAGTAATAAGAACTAGCTCCCCCAGCACAAGTTTTGCTTTTTGGGGGTACTGCAATATGTATCATATGGTATTTGATATATATATTTTTTGTATTATTTATCTTGTTATAGTTACAATAAAGTTCATTATTATTATATCATTATTATCAATTATCATAATTTATCATGTGAGTAGCATTTATTACTGACATAAGGTATGCTAGTAAACAATCAAATCATATTTGTGTGATTAGTTGTATTTTGTAACTTTTTGAGAATAGCCCTATTTACTTTGTTTGATGACTAGCAGATTGATTCCAAGGCTTCGCTCCTAAGGTTTCTACATTTATTGTCTGTGTCTAGGTTGTTTAAATATGTGAGAGTATAGAAGTTTTCAGTATAGGGTATTTGTTTATAAACATCAATCAACAAATTTCATTGACATTCCAGTATTAATATCATAGGTTGTAATATGGGTCTAAAAATTTACACTAGTCCTACTTGGTACACTACAAATGTACATGAGAAACGGGGACTCCGGCCGTAATCGTAAAATGGTCCTCTAGATGGTAACGTAATATGAGTAAATAGTTATACAACTGTGTACCAACGAATAAAGCTGCAAATGGACTCTTGCATGACCACCACAATCCATACAGCAAGGGGCACGAGAAGTAGAAGGCAGGACTATTTAGTAAAATCCTAAACAGCTCATACTGAGAAATGATCTATCAAAACGGAACGAAGTTGGCTTACGCTATTCGATCTTTTAAAATGCTTAATTAATTGTACTAAAAAATAAACTATTTAAAATCATATATTTTGAAGACACTTAGAAAATAATATTTATCGATCCGAATATTCTGATATACACAAACATTTAGTTTGAATTTTTGACGCAATTACAATAAGCAGTCAACAATTTATTATTTGAATGAATGCAATTATTTACAACTGTACCTCATCCTGTTCTATCGACGGTACTTGTACGTGGAGAACGCTACAACATCGGACATAACAAGTATAACAACGAGTATTGTATTAATTAATATAGATACATTTTTGTATTGTATTAGTGGGCACACAGTAGAACATTAAATATATAAATAAATATTATCGCAATAAGAACATGAATAAAATAACATACTCGCTGGAACAATATTGACTACTGACAATCAGTTATTGATTACATTTAACAAATATGGACAGTGATAATATTGAGATAACGCCAAGCAGCCGGTGGAATAGTTGTTGTGGTCATACGGAATAGCAGGATAGATAATACTATTATATATTAGTATATTATGTGACGATGGCAAACTGTGGCAGCTGAGTGCTGAACGCTCTGGCGAATAGCGAAAAACGACGGCTGATGGAGTAGAAAGCCGTATTACCGTAACTCTCTGACCACAGATTGTGACTTTTGGGACATACACAACGGACGTTACGCTTAATAGCAATTTTCCGGTCCAAAAAATCGCTTACGCAATACACAACAGATCAAAATGGACGATAGGTACCTATTCAAAATTTTGTTCTCGGCAGCAACAGCGGCGGCCTGCGCAACGAGCGTCCACATAGCTGTATGTCAAACAGCTATAGTTAAGCTTAACTGCTTAAGGTCTACGGTAATCGCGGTGCTAATGTATACAATATTGGATGTTGTAGGAGTCACTAACAATACGGTGTGAGCATATCCTTAGTACATACACCGTTCTCTCAACCAAAAATGTATTATGTTTTTGCTGATGTTTGGATGTTCTTCGCTTCATACCTGGAAGTCATTTTCCTGAGAAGTAAGCATTAATTTTTTTTCAAATGAAAAAACAAGTACCTAGTTAAGTAATATTATATAATAATCAACAGAAACAGTTGTTGTCTTATCAAATGTAAATTATACCGGTGTCGAAATATAAGGATAAATGGCAACAATGACTTCAGATAAGCATTGAAATGAACCAAAAGGCATATCATGGTGGAAGGAGTGACTCGAATGAATGGTCAATTGACTATCCAAGTGTTTTCAAATAGTGTGACGAAGGCAATAATTTTCTGTGGAAACCAAAATATAATTACTGCTTGCAATTGGAAAGTGGTATGATAAATATATTTTAATGAATTCATTTGACTTAATCGAAATTTTTAGGCTTCAGAAGTATTCTAATTTTTCAATGACTGGTTTGACTTGCTGAACACCTAACAAAAATATGATAAGAACTTAGCAACTTATGGATTATATCTGATGTCACAAAATTAGTTATTAGACAAATTTACTGACATTGTATTTAATAATGTGAGAGTATAATGGAAAAAAGCTTATTTTCCTTCCAGGAAGGTAAGACTCTACAAATGAAATAATAAAATTTTGATTAAATTATTTTGAGAAGTACCTATAAATAATTTAATTTTTAGGTAATAATTAAGCATACTTATGAGTAGAAAAAAAAACCAGGACATAGTTAAAACCTAATTTAGTTTTCTAAAAAGAAATTGGGGAGGAATCATTTAAAAATAAAATACTATTACAATTTAAATATGCGTAAGTTATATCATACATTTTCACAATAAATAAACTTACTGTATATGCTATGTATAATTTATAGATAGAACACATAACTAAAGTACTAACGTTTATTGAACAAATGACTAAAATGTTTTTTTTAGTCTCAGATGGTATGTCTTAAGGAAAAAATAACCTTAAGATGCTATTATCACACCCAATACAATTGATAGTTTGGAGAATAACTTATTTTCGTGAGAAGAAACTGTTCAAGTGCTAGAAGAGTCTGATGCACAAAGTGCTGACATTTACTTTACTAAAAATGAAAAAAATTATCATCTTAAGATGAGTAATGTATCAGCTACAATTGAAAATGTTGATTTAAACAAATTGAACCGCTTTAATAATTAGGTAAATATACCATAAATTATAAATATAATTATTACAACTAAGATTTTTTTATATTGTATCCCCAAAATTCCAAGGAATTTGCTACTTTGACAAATCTTCTAATAATGTCTAAAAATAAGCAAATGCTCTAAGTTCCGAGCCCTGGTTGTCACATACAGTTAATAATGGTGCTTTGTTATTACATAGTCACATTTCTGATTTTCCTAATGTTTTTGCAGTAAAAAAACAGTTGAAAGACTTAAAAAATATCCAAAAAGCAAGAGAAATTTAAACTATTAGATACATACACATCAAAATGCATCAAAACTTAATTTCGAAACCTTTTTATGTGAGCCTTTTAGTACTTTTTATTTCAATTTAGAAATATTCATTCAAAAGTGGTTGAAATAGAGTAATATTGAGTTAAATGTAATTATGTACCTATTTTTAATTTTAGTTAATAAATTTAATATGCAGTCTAGTCTCGATAACTCAAATCTGAAAGGGAATAAAAATAATTTACACATGTATTTTTCAAGTTGTATAACTCAAAACTCCTCAAACGTCACTTAAAAATAATTAGGTATACGAGTGGCAAAAATATTGTAGAAATAATTTAAGTTATTATATGACTATCATTTTAGTATTACATAACTATAACGTATATTGATAATAATTGTAATAAAAATAATAACTGATATTTTTTTTTTAACAGGAAAAGAGCTTAACTCAGATGATACTGCTTTAAATGGATGTGTAGCCAATCCAGTTTTTGAATTGCCTGTTGAAAATGTGAAAATTGACACCGATCTTTACTTTAAAATACACCAAGAAGCTACTCAATATAAATTTTCTTTAGAGTTATTAAAAAGTAATATTTTTAATATATTTTTAATATTATTTGTTCATGCTATATTAAGATCTTATTGTAATATTAAGTGCTAAGAGAGCACACAGCACAATAAATTGTTTCTTAAAATTGTTTTTAAACATTAAATTATTATACAGTGAAACCTTGGCATCACAAACACCGGTATAAGTTTCCATATCTCAAATTTATTTTTCAGTCCAGATCACCCATTTACATATTTTTTAATTACCTCGATAATTCATAGTTTCAATATGTTGAATTTTTTTTTTTTGTCTTTAGAACTGAAAAACAATTTGGTTGACGTCTTCGGGTCTAGCTCAATAAAAATTTCTATCTAACACGTGTAAAAGTTACTCAATTAACATAGTGACTTGCCCACCTAAGCGTTTGACTTTTGATTTGTGTACTGTAATGAGTGACTTTTAGTGCAAAAAACGATAAGTATCAGAATTTTAATAAAAAGTTAGTCACCATGTCATGTTGCAGTACTGGACTGCTGAGGTTAAAGAGGAATACCTAACAAAAGATATTTTTTTTAATAAACGAAAAATGCTATTGGTCAGGTTAGGTTATGTTATTGGTATACTTAAAAGCATATGACGGTATTAAAGAAAAAGTTCACTCCGTCAATAAAAACACCAAAGTCAATTTGCACATTATATTGTACTCAAAGTAATTTTTTAAATGGTTTTTCTTTGAGTAATAGGCATAGATTTGTATCAATGAGTTATATTTAAATGTTATCTATTTATATCTGAACAGTGAATAGTATTATAGAGTTATGATGCCTATATTAATAATATTATATTATTATTATGTTAGACATATAGATAATGTATTTACAAATAATATTTACAAGTAAGAGTTTTTAAGAAGTTTATTTTGTTTTTCTATTTAAATTTTTATCAATTATGCATTATGATTTTTATTTTTTATTATTATGTTTGTACTCTAATTTGTTATATTTTAACATTTAAACAATTACAAGGTTTTTAATATGTCCATTATTATTATATTGTTATCTGGACACTATTACACAAAAACTAATTGGTACTCCTAGTTTGAAATTGTATTATTATAAGACTTATAAGTATTAGATTTTTATTTTTAAGTAAACAAAGTTGACATTATAAATTGTGATATTTATGTATTATTTATTTATGTATTTATGTTAATTTTACATAGGTACTATGTAGTCTATAATATCAAGCGTGAAATAATATATAATCATATTATATTGTTTCTAATAATATATCTAAATAGATGGAAATGTATAAATTATTATTTATCTTACCTTGTAAGTGTCCCATTTAAATCCATGTGGGTTTCAGTTTTTGTCTTCAAAACATTCATTGATGAAAAGCCTATATGGGATCGCAATCATTTATTACCTCAGTGATGTTAGGTCGTATGTCAATCAGTTGAGAAGAAAAAAAAATTGTTATTAAAATTATTAATTTTTGTATAAATTATAACCTCAAAACATTTTTACCATGCTGAGGTTTTAAATATTATGTTTTTAAAGTTTTATTAATAAAAAATACATTAAGTTGTATTATTTTTTTGCGGAATAAGTCTCACTAATGTAACGTAACAAAAAAAATGATATTTAAAATATATATTATGTACTTATTATTTCTGCACAAAATTAAAATCCTACTAATCCTATTAACCTAAACGTCCTAAACGACATATTTCATCAATATGAAAAATATTTCAATTGTCCAAATGGGGGCGTTTCATTTCAATGCCCCCTCCCCCCTTTTGTTTTTGGGATAGAGCTTTAAGTTTTTGTGCACAAACGTCGAGACCTGGTGCGTAATTTTGCACAAACGTTTGGCGTAGTCAGAAGTTCAAATTTTGAAAGTGGGGGGGGGGGGCATTGAAATGGACCTTATCAACTGTGTGATTTTTATTTAAGTGTGGTTGTTTTAATCAGACGATTACTGTAATATTGTCGATAGTTGTAAATTCACATAATATAAATGTTAAAAAATAAAACATCGAATTAAAAAATATTTTGATAGTGTACAGAGGTATCCATTTAATGAAACAACCTAATTATTTCAGAGAGCACTAACATTTTGAAATATTTTTTTATATAACATTAATAGTCGTGACAAAACAATATTTTTGGTAACAAATTCTATTTTTATAATTATCATTCGTAAAGTATTGAAATTACGTTTTAATGATAAAAAATGTAATCGTTTGTAATATATAAAAATTGTTGTCGGGCGCTAATGCGAATACACACACATACAAAAAACCAGCAAATATATGTAAGCTCTTTATAGAAAGGAAAGTTACTTTAGCAATAATCAACGCAGAGCCGAATCTATTAGAGTTATCGAATTGAAATTTTGAGGATGGATTAATATTATAATGCCAAGTTCCACTAAGAAAGGATTTTTCAAAATTTTGATTTTAAAGTGTTAAAATCGGCGAAATAAATTGTTTAAGTACAAATTGTATATCTATATACATATTTTATATCACGGTGACCTGTGGGTTTCCATAGCGACATTCAACAATACATTTTTCTTTGTCTAACTATGTGTTTGATCTGCGTGTACATATGCATTTTTTCGAGAAGTAAAATTCTACAATCTATCTATATCCATCTATGTATATCAAAATAATTCCCTATTTCCCTTATTTGAGGCCTCACGCTTATCGCTTATCATTTAAACAGATCCATCTATCTTCTATCTATGATATAGATGATATTATTTCTTAGCCGCTCATTTCACAGTGGAATCAATTGGAAGATTAATGATGTATGTTATAGCGAATTTTTTGATAAGTGTTTGTTCATCATGGTAAGTTTAAGCAATCACGCTTAAAATTTGAAACAAACTTAAGTCACCCGTGGGCCGTCATGCCATACAATATGTGCATTGGTATACAATTTTCATGTTTATTTTAATTAATAGGTAACTAATTTTCTGTGCAACTTTCTTAATTTTGTATTAGAACTTGGTATTTTTTTAAAAATGTCGGTTGCCATTGGTTAATCGGGCTGATCAGGTTTAAGAATACATCCACATACACAATCAAAATAATGAATAAAATTAAAATTAAACATATTATTCATATAAACTATAAAGTGTGCACTGTGCACCTAGCGGAGTCCGCAATCCACTGCAGGTGGATGGCTTACCTGATGATAAACTGCTCAAATTATCACAAGCGAGTCTCGTATAGAGTTAGCATTCTAAAAGGGCAAGGCAACGAAGTGCAAGGGATCAGCTAGAAAATATAAATAATGATATAATAGATCTTTGTTTCGACACAACAATACGACAGTTAATTTGTCTACTAACAATCTTACATAGCAATGGCTGTTACCGCTAAATTTATGACGTAGGATACTTGCCAAAATTATAAACTACAAGCTAACATTTTTATTAGTTTAAGAGTTGTATGGACCATACTTTTCTTATCGATAAGCGATAAACGTATTTAACAATACAAATTATAATTATAACTATAGAATTATTAGAATCATTTGTAAATATTAATGTTATTTTTGAAAGAATTTTCAAAATTAGACCTCTACGGGGGTAAAAGGGGTTTTTTATATAGCAATATAATACACGGGCAACGCCGTGACGGGACAACTAGTAATTTATAAAATTTAATTTATATTTTTTATATCAAGGAAACAAAAAAAAATGAACCTGTAAAAATATTTTTAATTATGATGTTAGTGCTCAAAGATCAAAGACCCGCCGTTGACAAAAACGCGGATAAAAATTAGAATCATTGTGATATGCTAATGGACACGACGACGAGCTTGTTCTTATTGTTCCATCCTCTCCTCTCCAATCTCCTGTCGTCATTCCTTGTGCATTAATAGTGTTTTCGTTATGTTTTCCATATTTTTTTTCTATATAAGCTATCTTTGTGTTTTTTTTATATTTTTGAGTGTAATCTCTTGTTTAAGCCCACGCCCTTGTATTATCAAGGTTAAAAAAAATCGTTGTAGACTCCGTTTTTCTTGTTAAAAACCAATCTAGGCTTACTCATTTCATTAAAGTACACATATACATTATTGGCCGTCGCCATCAAAGCCACGAAGCAAGTTATCGTTTGTTTTATACAAAAATTAGTGTCTTGAGCTAATGTGGATACGCACACAAAAAACAAAACAGCAAATAAAATATGTACAATATACGCGGCATCATCAGCAATTAAGCGAGTTGTTTTCTTCTTAAATTATTGTACCCTACACCATCACCTCCGTCACAATCGACGTTGTGATTTTGAACATTTGCTATCAGGTCACCATATCAGATACATCCTCGTAAGTCTGCAAGCAACCGGCGAGGTGTGTGGTAGGCCTCCCAGGTACCAATTCTACCAATTTCATCCTCAGGTACCAGTACCAGTTTCTCTCCATCCCTGCCTTCCCACCGTTGTCAAAAGATTTCAGAAATTTAAGTTAATTTTAAATATTTGTGCTATTAAAAGTGAGCACCCAACCAATTTGACTACAGTGACCCCCTTCCCTATAAACTAACATTTATTTTCCTGAAGCCCGTGTGTTTCACCTCCAGTCAAAAACGTTGCCTACGCTTCATAGTACAAAGCGTAGCTACTTAGGGCCTTTTAACGCAGCAATAAAAAATCATTGTCCTCGAGCAGGTGATTTTATTTGCAAATTCAATACTATTACATAATTTCAAGGGCAAAATGAAAAATTATATCGAATGTGGCGTTCTTGCATTATGAAGAGAGCTAATTTTTTACTATTCAAAAGCAGTCGTATTTTAATAAATTCAAAATTTATCAATTTTGTGTAGTGGTAGTTTTGTTATAGAGGTGTGCTAATAAAATCAATAACTTCTTATCTATATATACATAATATATTTACATTTTTTTTTACTACCTGGTTTGTAATTGACAAAAAAACCTAAAATTGTTTCCCTGAAAACGCTTATTTATAATGACTCGCAATATATCACAACATATTGAAAACGTTTAGGCAAATGCATAGAACCGAAAGTCGGTAGTCGCAACTTATGGTACAACAGCTTGTATATTTGATTTTATATCAATAATATATATTTTTTTTTTATTTATTCTTTTAAGAAGATAATGAGCCTTCCAGTGCCAAATTGAACTGTGCATATTGATGTTCATGAACTAAATGGTGACATTTCTTCAAGGTAAATCGTACCAAGTTTGCGCCCCCACTCAGGTAAACAATTTTTTTCTACCTTTTTTATGGGATTGCGTCCCAGATCTATTTAAACATACATCGGTTTTTACATGATGACTATAATTCTGTATAGTTGGATTGATTTTTAAATGTTTTTAAAGTTGTATTATTATTTTTTGAATATCACCAACATAATAATAGATAAATGTAAATAACTTATTTGAGTTTTGTGCATTAAAACACTGTAAATAATATGTAGTGTCAATGTTCTACTATAAAACATAAAAATGGTAAAAGAAAATAATTTAACTTTCTGACTTGTGGACGCATTCGGAGTACCGGAAAGGTATAGAAGGGGCGCAAATCGAATGACGCCCAAATCGTATACCTAACATGGACTATTTTAATATTGATATGTTGTGTATGTTTTAAATAAAACTCTAATGGATCTCCAGTTGTATTTTGTTCTATTCATTTTAAGAGCTACATAACATTTTTTCTTGAAAACGGTTAATTTATGGCCTATGGTGTTCAAAGTCAAAAACTTATAAGACGTGTCAATGTTAATGTCATCTCGATTTTAACCAACATTGGTTATTTTGTGAACATTGATTTAAATGTTAAAGAAGACGTTACAATGAAACTGATATAGGTTTAATCCTGTAAATGTGTATAACACAACCATCACTGACAAACTTAAACTAGATAATTTATTCATGATCATTTGATTTAAATAATATGTTATTGAGTTTTTGATACAAATTTTTTTAAGCTTAAATAAGTGTGACCTGTTTATAATAATATACTCTCTAGTTCCAGTCGAGAACGTATAATTAATATAGTACTTTTACTGTCGGAACTAATTAAACAAATATATTGATAATTTTCGCATTATTCACGGTAATCCAGACATTATAAATAAGTATTGTAATTAAATAGTTTAACGGATATACGATGGTTATTATAGTTTTATTAGCGTAGGTCTATATTTTTTACATGTAGATATCAAAAGAAAACAGTTTAATCAAACATAAAAATAATATACGTATAAATAATATCAAAAAAATATTCAGAAATAATAATGATATTATGTAAATAAAAATAATTATTGATGTGATGAATAAAATTAATAGTTAGATTATCACACACATACAACAGAAAAAAGTTGATTATTATTATTACAAATATTTATTTTCATGAAATATTTAATTATTATAATAAATTATCAGTTAAAAAACCTTTAAACAAGTTAAACAGTGTACCTATATGAATGTGATACTTACATTATAAAATAATAATTTAATGTTACTAAATTATATATCAACAACTCCCCGACATACTAAACTACAACGGATGCATTTTAAAATAGCAATATAATGGCACCGAACAACTAGTACACTATTTTCTATAGCAGTAGTTCGCTTCACCAGTATGTAAAATCGTGTTCGATGCAAGTATAATGTGTCCAAAGAGAAAAATTGTTATTGTGAACAAACAGATAATTATAGTTTCAAGAGCCGGCTAACATTTGTATATAAAATAATAAATATTAGCTGTCAGCAATTTTCTGCAAAAACTTTTTTCGACCTTTATTTGCGTATAACTACCTAAATACATTCATTTCATAACATATACATTGCAAATTTCGTATTTATTTTTAAATTTAACGCGACGTAATAATATTTTTCCATATTCTACCTTCCAGTAGATATACAGCGTCTACTTTACTGGCAACGAGGAGATTTTCATATGGATGAGGCGACTTGATGACGCCGATCCAGCATAGGTCATTCTATAACAGTAGTTTTCTTATACACTGTTCGAAATAAAAATATGTAGCGACTAGATCAGGGATGGCGAACCTTTGTGTTCCAGCATGTCAAATAAAAATGTTGGTTGAAATCTGTTTTTCCTGCGTGTCAACCAGAGGCGGTTTGAATGTGTAATACTTAGTGGTGCAAGACAATATATAGACACCCACCTCCCCACCACCATACACATACATACTAATAACAAATAATTTTTTTTTAAAGTTTTTTACATATACATACGTAATTTTTTAGTAACTTCAGTTAAGTTGTTTGCACATTTTATATTATCAATGATTCTGTTATGATTTTTGTAATTACTTTTTTGTTAGTAAAACAATAAAACATATACAATGTATTTAAAAATGAATCAAATAAAAATAAAAATTAGGAATTTTTTTATAATTTTTTTCATATAGAAAATTTGATAGCTTAAAAAAAATATATTTATAATTATTGCAGGCTTTTATTTTGAAGCTTGATGAATTGGTACAATTTTAAATTTTAAATATTCAAATATACAATATATTTATTATACATACAAATAACAAGCCCAAACTTAACAGATAATGTGATATAAATACAAATTAAACTTAAGAAAATAAAAGCACTGATTGTAGCAGTTTTGACCTTGAGCCATACATATTAATAGCTTCATCTATTGGTATATCAATATCAGCGTTACATGATATCAACATTAAATGGTCAAGTCTGGATTCTGACATTGTTGAGCGAAGATTAGTTTTGATTAATTTTAATTTAGAAAAACACCTTTCAGCACTTGCTGACGTTGGAGGTAAAGTACAAATACCTTTGTAAGCCAAGTACAAATTTGGAAACGCCGCTGACATACCAGTATTACTGAGGGTTTTAAAAATATCTAATAGTTTTAATGCATTTGTATCTTCATCATTGGACCTCAAGCTATCATTATCGCTGCTATTATTCTCATGGCTGAATTCATCAATTGTATTGTTATCAATATTTTCTGAGATTTCAGGACATGTTTTCATGAAATTCTTAAAGTTGTTTGAGAATAAATTATAATCAGTACTCAAACTATACTGATCAATGTTTGTGGATGATAACCATTTACATATATAATTAAATGAGCTAGGTGTGGTAGCAGATTTTAGAAGTAAATGTTCAGCAGAAAATAATGAAATTTCATTAAAAACATTTTCAGCATTGTTATACCTGTCATCCAGCTTCATTAAAGTCTTATCAAGAGTCATATTATATACCTCACTAATATAGCGGTCCTTTGAAGACAGAAGTCGCTCATCATTTGCTCTTTCCCCACTCATTTTTTTTTTAATGGAAGTACGTTTAATAGGCATATTTTTTTCTTCTAGGTCTAAACTTGTGCAAAATGATTCAGAATCAGAAAATATGTTGGATAAATTATCATCTATTCTCATATCATTTAAAAATTGTCGTGTAGCTTTAACAAGTTTCATTGCTTGAATGAAATCCATATCTGGAGCTTGTAAATACACAGATAATGGTGTAGTAGCTGAAAATATTTTTTTCATTAAATGAGCAGTAACTATAAAAGAAAATTTGTTTAAGTTTTTATAAAACCCCTTGGCCATGTCACAGATTTTTTTATCAGCCTCATCAGATATAATAAATTTTAATGTTTCAATTACTGCTTTATATGTTTTTAACATAACATCAATACAACGATCATGGTAAGTCCATCTTGTATTTGAAAAGTGTTTTAACCTTCGAATAAGCTCTTTAGGGTAGATAGATTTTTGTAACTCAACATATTTGGCTGTGCGTTTTCTTGCACTAAGAAAATTTACTAAACTTCTGACTGTTCCAAAGAAATCTTGAACTTCAGCAGTTGCTTCACATGCATCACATACTGCTAAATTTAAGCAATGAGCAAAACACCATACATGCAGAGCATTAGGATTATGACTTTGAATTATTGTACGTAAACCTTTTATTGCACCTTGCATGTTGGAAGCACCATCGTATGCTTGGCCGACTAATTCTTTTTTCCAATTTAGCGCATGGTTGTCACATATTTTAATAAATAATTGAAACATACCATTACCGGTAGAATCCACAGTTTCGTCAACACACATTAATCTTTCATGGATGGTACCATCAGTAGTACAATAACGTAATACAAAAGCGAATTGATCTAGCTTTGATACATCAGTAGTTGAATCTAAAATTAGTGAATATAGACCTGATAACTTTACTTCATTAAGTATTTTCTTACGAATGGTTTCTGCTATACATTCAAGCATTGCATTTTGTGAACCTTTAGACATAAAAGTCAGTCTCGTTTTCTTAGACGATGATTGTATACGATCTAGGTGTGCACGTAAAACTGGATGGTATTTTGAAAAAAGGTTAACCCAATCAAGAAATTGTCCTTGAATATTATCATTTGCTGATTCTGAATGTCCTCTTAAAGCTGAGTTGTGTTTGGCTAAGCATACAACAATGTCCATGAGAACTTTCACAACTTCTCTATTTGCAGCAACTTGTGTATTAGAAGATTTTGTTAGTTGTAAATCTATACGGTTGTTATTAATATACATTACTCGATTTAATTCAGCCTCTAAATGATCTTTACATGTTTCATGTTTATATAATCTCCCATAAATTCCAGATAGGTGACCCCATGAGTTACAACCAGAACTAGCAAACAAACCTTTTTGTGCTCGCGGTGTACCAAAAAGTTTGCATGTCCAACAGTATACTTTATCAGTAGATGGTGAATAGGCAAGCCATGTTCTATTCTCAGTTTTTCCATTTATTAATTTAGTATAGTATGACATTGAAAATGAACGCGAAGGTATAGACGAATCGTGTGGGAATTTCCCTCCAGGTAGATCAATATCTTTTGGCTGACATGGACCCAATTCTAATAATGTTAGTTTTAAACCAGGCGATATTGTTTTTCCTATATAAAATGCTGGATCATTTTGAAACTTGGTTGTAGCCAAAGAATTGTCAGGAACAAAATTATTTGGTTCTTCCGAATAACACTTTTCCAAATCAATTACTGTCTTCATAAATAGTTTATTAGAATCTTTAAAAAAAAAAAAAGTCATTTTTAATATTATAGAATTATTGAAATTACCAATGTTAGTTTTATTCAAAAATGCACAAGTAAGCAAGAATATTAATTATGATAATATAAACAATTTTATAAATACATAGTTAAACACCATTTATCAATTATATCATTATGCAATAAATTATACAATTATAGTTTAAAATGTAATTATAATTCAAGTTTATGTATTGATAAAATCTTACCCATTGATTTAGATGGTGTGATGTCATCATAATTATTTTGCTCAAGAATAGAGAAATTAGATGTAGCTTGAGTTCCATTTTTCATAGATTGTTGTCTTTCAGTGTCAGTATTACTTTCACTACCTAATTATAAATGAATAAAGTATAATAAAAAAAGACAATGATAACATATTTATTTATATTAAGGGTTAAAAATTAAAAACATTATTACAACAAAATTTAAAAAAAATTTTAGAATGACTAATATTTTGTATTTCATTTCATAACAGATAACAGCACTAAACAAGATATTAAGCAAAGTACAACTTGAGAAAGAAAGCAGATCTTATTGATCATTACACATTAGTAAGCTAAAGACTGTTAATTATTATATAAACTACAAAAATACTTTCACCAACTTTAGTCTATCACAACATTAAGTCATATTCAAAAAATCAAAAACCAACTTTAATCTAAAATATAATGTGATGATTCATTTAAAAATAGTACAAAAATGAAAAGTTTCTATTTAATAATTAAAAAAGTACGTAAATAAATATATTAAATATAATTATAAATATATAATGTTATTTAATATCAAGAAATAGTTATTACTTATGAATAATAATGTAATATACCTAAGTATTAATCTATTCATAAGTTATTAGCTTTATAATGGTTAATTTTATTTTAAATAATTCATCATTTGTATCAAAATAAATGAGAACAATAATTATCAATGAAAATAAAAAATTATTATTATTAATATGTCAACTTACATAACAAAAATTAATTTAACTTAAATTCTACATTAACATAACATTAAACAACAATACCTAGTTGACAACAAGTATTTCTAAATCTAAAATAGGGCAAATAAATACATTTTTTAGTACTGTCTGCTATTACCACATATTATTTAGTTATTACATGTATTATAATATGTATGTAAATATAAAAATAACTTTAAAATAAAATTACCTTCATTGGCCTTTTTACTTTGAAGGGTATTAAGGGCAATATCATTTGCAATAACTGTATTTCCATCACCCACCACAGTTTCAATGATTTCTTGGTCTTAGAATTATTTCAAATATTTAATTAAATTTCTTACATGAATTTATGAATATGTTAAGATTGTTTGAATTAAAATTACCTTGATTTTGATTAACTATTGCATTAAAATCATCATTTTGAGTATTATCCTTATGGACAGGTAACACTGGAAACGTAGTAGTTTTTTCTTGGTCTTTAAAAAAATATAATTTTTATGTAGTGAACTATTACTATGTAAAATATTATAATATTATAAAATAGGTACTCACTTGAGACGACACATTTTGAATTCACAGAACAAAAAAACTTTTTTATATTACTAGTGTGGCTCAATTAAATTTTTTTAATTTTACAGAACTCATTGTGTCTAGACCAATTTTTTTCGTTCATAGAACCTCTTTTCCTACCACACTCACAGTCACTTACATTAATTGAGGACATTGAGAAGGTACTTAAACCACCTATTTGTGGGTGTAAAAGAGAAAAAAAATAATAGATACAGTGTCACAGCATAATATATTATATACGTAGTGTCAAACTGTCAATACAACGATGCAGAACGATACGAACCTGCAGACAGATACACAAAAAATGTCAACAACGACAAAAACTGACTAGTGACTAGTGACTTGTGGTTATCAGATATTATTATATAAATAGAAAATGATAATTGTTGTTATCGTCGTTGCCGTCGCAGTCTTCGTCGACGTACCTACGACGATGTCAACATTAGTAATAATAATCGTTTTAAGTTTTATTGCAAGGTATAACCACTTTTATGTAATTTAAGACTTCTTGAAAAACTGTAAAAATAACCCACGGAATCCACAAAATAAATAAAATGTTGATAGGTAACTGAACATAATATTATAATAACACATACCACGGAGTACGGACTAAGATATTACATTTTAGTCCGTGCCTTACGCCCTTACTGAATTCTATAAATAATATAAATATATTATCCTTTATATTATCATTGAATGATCTTGCAATCTTAGATGGACACAATATTATTTTACCTAATTATAATTTATAATTATTATACCGTTGATTTGATTTTATATTATTATAAATGCTTAAAATACTTCATTGACATAGAGTCATAGAATGTATAATCGATGTTAGGATCACACAATATTTGTTTTGCACTTAAGTCGAATAAGTCGGTTGTCGACCAACAGGAAATCTCGGTTTAAATATAAAATGCGTTATCGGGGCAAGACTAGATCGATTTGCGGGACCGTCGGGAAGCGAACCGACGAAACGCTAGTGTGAACCTAGCCTTATGCAGTTATGCTCTTATGCTCTTATATTCTTTATCTCGACGCTCCAACATTTTCAGCCAACAGCCACGATTATTATTTACCAAATATTTTGATTAGGTACTTCATTACTTCATTGAAAATTAAATTAAACATTGAGGTCAGCACATGCTCAAACCTTAAGTCTTAACCGACTTAACCAAGACCACGCACCCACCCACCCACCCAAATTTTTGGTGGTGCAGTGCACCAAAAACAGTACACTCAAACCGCCTCTGGTGTCAACTAGTTCGATAACCCTTCAATTTTTTTTTTCAAAAACTTTAATATTATCAAACTTACACATTAGTGTGTATCACTAAAATAGTGTGCGCATGTCACTCTGTGACCCGCGTGTCATAGGTTCGCCATCTCTGGACTAGGTATTGTAATGTAAATTATACAGGATGTTTTTAAATCATAATTATGTATAATATATAAAATCAAAATCTGATTTTTAATAATTTTCATTTAAAAAAAAAATAAGGTAATTCTAATTAAAAGCGTTATAAAACAAGTATATTATGTTTAAGGGGATTGCAAACGGACAGTTTTTAAGGAGTTCAGTATAGGCAATGCGAGCTGTACCGGTGTGTGCGTAGTAAATTATTATTAGTGTTAGTGACACCACCGACTAGATTGGGAAGCGGCACGAGCGGAAGTTCTGAGAACATATTATTATATTATTTTGTAATACGGGTGATGATAATATCATAATTACACATTTGTTGTATAATGTTCCTAATAAGGAATTTTTAGATTCTGAACGGAGTGATGAATGTATTGATTTTACAATGCAATGATGTGTGTATTCGAAATAATGCTTCGATTTTCAAAAGTAGCATCTTTTCTGAAAGGAAAGTGAATCTAGTTGGTANTGACTGATTCAGTAGGCATAAGTGATGTGTTAGGCTTCCTTTTTTTTATTGCCATTTCTTTCAATACTGATGTTGGAGGTCTACCTCTTTTAGGCGTTATTGTGCCAACTTTAGTCAAAGAATATTATGATACATTCAAACGAAAATCAAATAAGCTCATTGTAGGTTTTCTGCCATTTAGAACTTCAACTCTTCTATATAGGAGCCATGCGTTCACAACTGTTACGTCGATTAGATGATACCAAATTCTCATATACCATTTTTTTGTACGCATTCTTATTTTATACCGACCAATAAGAGAATCGAGCAAATCTACACCTCCCATATGTCTATTATAGTCTTTGATGATAGCAGGACAATTAACATCTAAAATACGTTTTGTTTTTTTGTCAAAACGATTAATACTATTTTTTTGGTAGAATTCCACAATATGAAGACAAAAGTGTAACTATTTTATTGTCTTTCCATACCACAGAAGTAAGTGGAATATCATCAAATACAGTTATGTATAGTATACAGTTATGTATGTTTTGTATAAAAAATACAAATATATTCGAATTCTTTCGAAATTTGTTTCACTTATAGTATTTTTATATTTATTTCAAATAAAAGAATATTTACAATGCTAACTATTGTTTTTTAATGCGTACTAAAATATATCATATGTTAATTAAGTAAAATTACTGAGAATTATTTAAATAAAATATTATTTAAATAATCATCTAAATAAAATTGTATTCAAACCTGTTTGTATTATGCTTCAGACACTTACTTCATTATTGTTAAAAAAAATACAAGCCAATTTATTAACGTATTCAAAAAATGGTTTTAATGTTTACAGTACTTAATTTGAGTAAACCGTTTATGATTTATGGACGTTTAAGTATTTCACCAACTTTCAGCTACTGGGTATTTAATAAAATCTTAAATTAAAAACCAGCAGTCAAAACGAATACGATAACCATATTATTCTTTATTATCTATATTTGTCCTATCGCCACTACAGCTTTATCTAAATTGTACATATTATTATTATCAATTTTCGGATATGGTTATCGTTAACAACAGATACAAATTTCGTTTTGACTACTGGTTTTACTTAATGTTACAATAATTACAGTTGAAGAGATACTTAAACATTCATAAGTCGTAAACGGTTTACTCAAATTAAATACTGTAAACGTTAAAAACATTTTTTTGAATACGTTAATGAATTGGCTATTCTTATTTTTTATTTTTTGTAAACGAAAGACAAGTATAATAGTTTATATTATACCATGGCTTAAATATACAAGGTTATTGCACATAGCCAAATTGTTATCAAATAAAAATAAAATGGCAGCGTAAGGGTACGGTCCATATCATAGCATATAATATCATAATATAGCCAGTATACGTCGTCCCCTTACGCTGCCATTTTAATTCCTTAACGTGATAAAATGATATAGTGGGGGTACTATTGCAATAACCTTGTATATTTAAGCCATACGTTAAATATAAGTAACTATTAAATGTATGAAAACAAAACATTTAAAAAATATTGATTAGAGCATACTATATAAAATTAGAACATGAGTTATTGAGTATTAAATTTGTCAGAACTTCGTGATACACCCGATTTAATTTTTTTTTCAAATAAAGTACCTTATTTTTCGTTCAATTAGATGGATCACAATTCGTAAGCTCATTTAATAAAAACAATTTATATCATATTTAATCTTTTATTGTTAAGCACTGAACGAAATATCATTAGTTAATTCAATAGGTAATAATAGTGCATATTTTTGCATATTTATTATGAATATTTTCTGTATTTAATCAATATATTATTTCTAATCAACTATAACCGATCATGTTTAAAAGAAGAAAAAATATTTTTCAATATTTCATTGAAACATTTCAAATTTAGAACCCTACTGAGAAAAACATTAATTTAAGAAAGAAATACATTGAGTTAATAGATAGTTTATTATAAATGTATAAAAATACATTTTTAATCAACTTTGGTTTTAGTTAATTTTATACAATAAATTTAATCAAATATTATATTATAAAAATTACAAAATATAAAAATAATTAATATTTATTATTAACAGTATTATTGTTAAATAAAATATTCATTCATTTTTTTTTAATACATAGTTTTATAATATTTCAGTTTGTGTCTTCTAGCCAAAAGCAGATGATCATCAACGCGTATAAAACTAAATTATTGGCAAATCCAAAACTTTCAATAAGACAGGCACGATCACTTCTTTTCAAAGAATTAGGCATTGGTATTACAACTATTTCCAACACACTTACAGAGTATCGCAACTCTAAAACAGTTTCATCAGCTAACAGAACGAAATTTTTTAAAAATGTCACTGATAAGGTTGATGAATTTGACAGAGAAGGGATACGAAGACAAGTTCATCAGTTTTGGATGAATCACGAGTTACCAAATTTAAATAAAATTTTAAATGTTGTGAACGAAGATGACACTCTACCGAACTTTTCATTAACATCACTATGGCGTTGTTTTGTAAATACTATTGTCAAAATTGTTATCTGTTATCACAGTTAATTGTTATCGTAAACATTTTGTATTAATTTATAAACGGTCGTGTATACCGTGGTTATGTTCATTTTTATATTTAAGGTTAGAATTTTTTGTACACATTATACTATTCTTTAATCTATGATTATACGTCTGAAAGAAATAAACTCTCAACTACAAACCGTCGAACTAAAAACATCATGGTTTTTATTTTTGATTAAATACAAAGTTCTCAAATCGAAGTAAAAAGTAACAAACATNTAATTTTTTAAATATTCAAACCAAATTTAAAGGAGTTGCAGATCGAAATTTTAAAAAGTGGACTGATCGATCTCAAGTAGACATATTGAAAAATTCAAATCAGCTTTCAGGAGTTATATCGCGTTTACAGTTTCATCGGTGTGATTGACAAAAGATTAGTATATTTTGGATGAAATAATAGACGTTTGCAATCCCCTTAATAAAAATAACAGTATCGAAGATAAAATAGGTCGAGCGTGTTTGTACCACGTATAAACATTATATGTATAGCCTGATGAAGGGTCGACGTCTTTCGACCCGACTTTCTGTAGCGTATACCGCAGGTTGAGGTATATTCCAATGCCGACAGCAATTTATTACCCTTGTGTTTAAACGAAAACCATTAAAAAGATGTACAATAATAAAAAAAACCCAAACATTATACATAAGTATAATAGGTATAATGTACAATTTAATGGC